TCATTGTACCATGCTCTTGGTGCCATACGTAGCCTTACGAAGTTTATAAACATAATTGGGATGACTTTGATCAGTAAAGCCCGACAGTATTTGCATGTACACATCTTCAGCAAGTGTTCCGTAAAGAAATGCATTGTTCACATCGGGCTGGTGCAAAGGCCAATTATAAGAGAGTGCATGAGACTGATTAGGAAAAGAGACATTAGCTGGAAGTAAAGAAATAGTGGAAGAATATATGCACATAAAATATAAATAAAGATAATTTAGTTCAATAAAGAAAGAAGTACATGAGATAAGTCAATAATAGCGAAATTATTGAGCCACGGCCACCTCTATAAGTACCCATAGTGATGAAATTATAAGCAGCAGCATCATAAGGATTAAAAAATCATGTCGTTTAAGTAGTTTTTGAGCCGCTAAATCATTAAAAAAACCTGAGACGTTGCTGGTAGTTTAATTGTATCCTAAATTCAAATTTCTTCTTCTAGTATCTTGAATTTCAACTTTAGTTACAATAGCATCCTAATTAGATATTAAAATAAAAAATAATGGTTTATTTATTAAATTGGATATAAATGAATTAAATATTATTTTCAAACTGTACTGCAATATTAAAATAAAAAATAATATATTCATCTTAAAAATAAAATATTATTTATTTATTTATATAATACTGACAAATAATGATTCCCTAAAAATAAAATTATACCGCAATGAATGAAATATATTTTTATAAGAAATCTAACTTAAATATAATTTCAATAAATTCTAACTAAAATTTTCATGCTTAAAAAATGATAAAACAAAAAACCTAAACTAATCTTCTATGCTTATAATTAATTAAAATTTATTATTTAACTTGGCTTTTTATGGATTTTAAAAAAATCATAACCAATATTAATTAGGGGTTTGTTAAGCTATGATTTTTTTTTTTTTTTTGTTAACCTTAACATGTAAGTCTAATGAAAATAATATTTTATTCATTAAATTGGATACAATTTAAAATTAAAGTGATATTGTAACTAAAATTGAAATTCAGGATACTGGGAAAAGAAAATTATATTTAGAAAATTGAATTTACGATACAATTAAAACTATTTGCAAAGTTTGAGATTTTTTAATGATTTAGCATTTTTGAGCAACAACAACATAACTTTGATTACCTTAAACTCTTTCTCCTAGGATTATGAATGGAATTTGGTATCATTTTGGAGATCCATATTTAATAGAATAAAGATTGTAATAAGAGAAAGTGAGTCTTCATCTTTTAGAACAAAGAAGGGGGGAGCTATGTGTTAGAGGAATAGGTCAATTGTCTCCCTCCTGTTCTAAAAAAAAAAAAAAAAATTGAGCAGAATATGTAGAGAAGACGAAATCAAAATGAGGGTAGTGATAATTTTCGATTAGGTGTTCTAATTGTAGAATAAGTAGAGAAGACGAAAAGAGCAAGTTTGTCCAACCAAAAAACAACTTTAGCTCTAGAAATATCCGTGACCCTTTCTTAAAATGATATATATTAAAAAAAAAATTTCAAAGGATCCAAATCTCGCTAGCCCAGTTAAAAGACCATCAATACATCGTCTAAATTCAAAACGTTTCATTTTTATTTTTTCTTTTTAAACTAAATAGAAAAGGAATTCTTTCCCTTATCAAACCATGATAGAAAGAAAATCGGACATAAACTTTTGGAGTTGAACAATATAATTTGCTAGGTTGGCAACGACCGAGTTTTAATTGATTCTTTTTAATTAAAATGAATAATTCATATCAGCTATCCCCGATTTAAATTGATCAGCATTGATTGATGAAATTATTTATTAGTTAATGCTCAAAAAAATGTTTTTAAAATTTTTTTTAAAAAATAAAGGTTATACTACAAATTCGAAAAAAAAAACTCAATAAACATAAAAAAAAAAAAAAACTAATGTAGCATTTGTTATCGTTGTGGTTTCTGGTTTTCTATTTAATTTTGATAAAAAAAAATGAAATGTGTTTGTTTTAAAAGTGTTTAAATTTATTTTTAAACTTTTTTTCAAAATCATTTAAAAAACAAAAAACGCATTTCGTGAAACAACAAATCGTGGTTTACGGTTTTTTTTTTTTTTCATTGATACGCTTCACTCTTTTTTCTCTCTCATAAGTCTCTGTAAATTTCGGATACACTCCTCTTTCTTTTCTAAATTTATATCAGATTGAGATTTGTATTAAATTGGATAATTTACTCTATATTTGAATTTATTATCTTATCTAAATTGTTCTTTTTGGTTTTCATCAAAATTTATTATTATATGATTAGAATTCTTCTCTTATATAATTTTATTATTATTATTATTATTCATTGTAGAGCTATCACTGTTTGATTCTTTTTTTCAATTTTTTGACTTTCGTTGGAACTCTTGATTGAGTTCATATTATTTTATCAAAATATAACATCTAAAAATGTTAATTATTCAGTAATAAACTAAATATTGAAAAATCCAAAAAAGAAATAAACAATAGTGACTAAAAAATGTTGTGAACAAGCTCATAAAAAAACAGTTTTCAAATTTTGAAAATCAAAAATCAAAAACAGTTATCTATTTTTTTAAAATAAAACATAAAAAGCAAAAAAATGGTAACAAACGGCCCCTAAGTAATCAATCTTTGTACTATTTCACCTTTTAACTTAATATACAAAACCATAAATACTAAATTTATTCTTGGAGAAAATGTGATAGGTGTTATTTTTATAGTATTTTTAATATAGTTTTTATTAGAATTTTTAGTATTTTTAATTACTTTAATTAGTTTTTATTTACTTTTATTTATATTTTTCAATAAAGCTTTTCTGAATCATCTTTTACTTGATCTTGAGGAATTTTGTATGATTTTCATAAAAAACCAGCTAAAAATGCAAGAGATGATCAATTGTCAAAGACTTCCAGCTAGTAGCACACCCAGGGCGTGCTACCTAGCACCCCCATACTACTCTGCAGAGTCTAACTTGGGCTAAGATTTCATATTAAGGCCGCTGTCTACATGAATCTATATAAAGAGATATTATAAGACGTATATTATTAAAGTTGGAGTCTTATTTAGACACTAGAAGAGTCCTAATTGAAAAAAAATATAAAACCTAAATAGTTTTCTATCTCCAAAAGATTTATTCTTCAATAGAGATTCACTTTCTTAAACGAATTCGAAGATATTCCAGAAAGTTTATATAAAGAGAGAGACTATCCATTGTCCAGAGATCTATTGTATATTCCATCTTTTTTCCTATTGTTTTCTAGTCTATTTAGTTTCTCTTTCTTTGATATCTCAAGTATTCAAGTTTGTGTAAAGAATTAACAAAGTCGTTCACGCTATTCGTCGACAAGTTTTTATCTCTAAGCTGTTAATCTTGTTTCTATTTTTCATTATTCATATTGACTGTGAAATTATTTTCAAGTTTAATTGAGTTTTATTTAATTACTATGTCGAATTAAATTCTCATATTAGGGATTTAATGTAGCTTAATTTATATTCAAATTTACAATATTAGATTTGTTTTTCCTTGTTGAAAGTATAATTTATTATTGAACTTATTGTCGAACTAAACTCTCATACTAGAGATTTGATGTAGCTTAATTTCTTTTTCAATTTATAATATTAGATTTGTTTTTCTTTGTTCAAGATATAATTTATTCTTGAACTTAATGCTTCCAGGAAGAGTTTCTCCCTTGGATTGAGTTATTTCATTAATCATTATCGGTGAGAAGGGTTTTTGATATGAAAAAGTTGATAATTTACATGATAATAATAACTTGATGCGGAAGCTATATGGTTTGGCTCATGGGGGTTCTCATAAGTTAATAACTTTAGGTTATGAATTCACAAAACAAACTATAAAACTTAATAATTTAATTCATCATAAGTTAATGAACTTAGGTTATGAATTCACAAAACAAACCATAAAATTTAATGATTTAATTCATGTTTGATTGCGCTATTGAAAGATATGTAATTAGACAGGGTTAAAATAGCTAACAATACATCGAGAGAGATTGTTAGTGATTTTAGAGTTGTTTTCCCTACTAGAAAAATTAAAAATTGATTAACGAACTAATAAAATAAATTGGATAAAATTAAATGAGTCAAAATCTATAATAGTTTTTAACCCTTGGTTTCTTTTCATCAAATATTCTTACTTTATTTCTTTTTATTCTTTTTTATTTCCTTTAATTTAAATTCTTACTCTTATTGTCATTTATATTTAAATAACAGTAGATTAACACAATTTTGGTACTTGATATATAATTCTCATGGAAATGATACTCTACTCATTCTTTATTATTTATTGTGATTTCATACACTTGCGAAAAAACCTATCAAAATAAAAAATATTTATCTATACCAGCGTACGGTTGATCTCCTGCACCAAACCAATCACAAAAAAAATTTGAGAGAGCACTTCCTATCTATTATTGAAGAGAAGAGAACCAAGTGGCTACCCTAGCCTATTACTCACTGTACAATATATTAATTTGAAAATATTAATTTTCACATAACGAGGTACAATTAGGAGGAAACGGATACATACAATTTTGAACTATACGTAACAGTATTCATTTAAAATTTATTACTTGTATCCTTCTAAAACCCATTTAAAATACCCTTTAAATGGGCAGGGTATTCATCCATTTTAAACTATCTAAACTCAAACTTACTTAAAATACATTTTTATTAATAAATGGATAGGATACCCGAGAGTAACTATGGTTAAAACCATTTATTATAGCGGGTAATGTATAGTGGATAACCAGAGTCTAATACCCATACTCTAACCGTGTTTATTATAGATAATAACTTAATTACCCGTATCCGTCCAAAACCCATTTATAATTATCCGTATCATCATTAAACAGATCGGAGTAGAGCGAGTATCCTAAAATACCCGTCTCAAATTTTTTTTCAAGCATATAGCTAGCTACAACACTAAATCAAGTCATATAGCTAGCGATTTTTCAAGCATTTACGACTAGAAAAATTTTTTTCATAAAGAAAGAAAAAGGTTTTACTACTGCTATAGAACAATCTACGCACTTATATATTGTAATCTAACAATAATCCATCAATGCTCAAGGACACAAAACCGATCAAACCCAAACGAAAAGAAGAAAATTTATATGAAACAAACTCACAAAACCCAAATAAAGTAAATGGTTTTTGGTTGCCTATTATCAATCTAAGAAAGATTTTCATAAAATCATATTCTTGGCTAATGTCCTCACTTAGTTTCTGGTATGGCTTCAATTACCTTCTCTACCTTTATAGAAGCAGCATCAACAGCCCAAGATGGAGTTGGTTCAACTGGGATTTCGGATTTTTTGACTAAAACCTCTGCAGAGTTTTCAGTCACTAACGGTTCTTGTTTTGCTGGCTCCACAAGTTTTTCAGTCTCTTGTTTCTCTGGCTCCAAAAGTTTTTCAGTTGATAACGGTTCTTGTTTTAAGGATTCCTTTGGTTTTTCAGTCTCTGATATTGTTTCACCAATGCGTTCTTGCTTCACTGGCTCCACAGATTCTTGGGTTGATGATGGTTCAAGCACTGTACCTGACTCTCTAGGAGTTGAGATCACCGGAACTACTGTTTCTTTATGTTTTTCAGTCTCTGGCTCTGTTGAAGTCGAGGTCACTGATAGTTCCTGAACTATTGGTTCTTTATGTTTTTCAGTCTCCGATGATGCTTCAAATTTCTCTTGCTCAGGAGAAGTTGATGTGGCTGATTGTTCTTGAACTATTGGTTCTTTAGGTTTTTCAGTCTCTGATAATGAAACAAGAAGTGTCACTGGCTCCATAGGAGTTGAGGTCAATGATTCTTCTTGAACTATTATCTCTTTAGGTTTTTGGGTCTCTGATGATTCTTTAGGTATCAGTGATCCTTCTGGTGCCTTCTCATCCTCTGATGACTTCTTTCCTTCTTCATTCTGCAAAAGTTACCAATTTAACCATGAAAAAACTGAGATGGATCTAAGAGCTGCATAAGGCATATATTATTTGTTTCAAGTAGTAGCACTCGTCTATATATCTGCATAATAAATCAATCAGGCAATCAGGCAATTCCATATTAGATATTTTTGAGTAACAAAACCGGAAAATTCTTGTCTACAATAAAGTACATTTTACGTGTATGTATAATGCATACCTACTATGCTCAAACTATATTTACTTGGAAATGGAGAACATTTCATTATGTGATGGGATTATGCGGTTCACACTATTCATATGATGATATGAAAATAGTGAATCTTATGCATGAGATAAATGATGGAATAAGCATCAAATGCAAATAACTCTCTTTGTACACATCATGCACCCATGCATTTACTAGCCGTAACTCGTAACACCTACAGAACCATCCGTAACGCCTAAAGAACCATCATCTCCTCGTCTTGAATTACCTTTTTTCAGTCTTCGAACCAAGAAACAGAAACTGTCATCTAAAGACTATAGGCTGCTACAAATTATATATATGTAAATATATGAAGTTAAGATTTATGTTACAAAATTCAACAGTTAAACGAAATAATTAGATAATCCAAAGGTCCCAAACAAGCTGTACAGATGGGGCCTTCATAGATATTTATGACATTCAACCAAATCATCAATACAAGGACAAACGTCCAACTTATAAGTTTACCAACTGTTGGTTTCACATTTACTTACTCGGTCGACATTCAACCTTCCTACTAATTGTCATAAATAAAATCTAAATAGCAAATTCATGAAAATGCTAAATAATAGACCTATTATGACCAATTTGTCTCTCATGATTTAACTTCACCTTATTTTTCAACTAAAACAATATGAATTATTATGATTGTATGTATGACATCTCACCCCATAAAGCAGACTCAATAACAATCCAAATCAAGAATGACATGAATTAAAATTTTTTAAAAAATTCTTTGATTTAATTCAACTTCTCTTAATTAATTCTTTTGGATAATTAATTACTCTTCAAAATGATTGCAATACTAAGGCAAAGATATAGAAATTTTTTCCTTTCTTTCCAAATTTTTTAATTTAAATAATATTTTATCATACAGAAATATGAAAGTTAAGTTTTTAGTTTGAAAATTATTCTTGGCCAAGGATTAGGCAAAAACAATGCCACTTACATAGTTTTAAGGTTTAACCACTATTTAATTATTAGACCAGTCGACAAAATCTTCTGCAGAGAGAACAAAAACAAAGAGAAACAAACAACAAGTGGGCCATAAAACTAAGACCAATTTTCTTGTCAAGAAATGTAAAGGCATAAAAGTAAACAAAAGAAAGAAAATAAAAAACAAAGAGGAATATCCAATTATCAATGTGTAAGGTACCTAGCGAGCTTATAATGATTCTCGCTGTATAGGACCTTTACCCATTAATAAATAAATAATAGAACAACCAAAAAATCTCAAGGTAAATACCGACATGAAAATAGACAAGCACAAGGACATAGGCCAGCTTATACATTGTTAGAACATTAAATTATATGCAACAAAAGATTTTCAGTCTTTAAGACTGAGAAAAAAAATACAGTTATATACTAAAAAGAAGAATAAAAAGTATTAATGAACTGTAGTCATTTAAAGTAAGTTGGAGTTCTGCGGATGACTTCTGCAAGGTCGAAGTATCAAATCATGGAAAAAAACACTTAAAAAGAGAAGGATAACCTCGAAATTCAAAACAAGATTAGTTTCATATCTAAAATCTAAAAGAGTGCAGGCATACATGTGGTTGATAAAAAATTATTTGCAATTAAGTTTCATTACGGACTCACAAAAAGTATATTTTCTCTTCCAATGAAAAGATACTTCTTTTTGCTCCAAATGTTATGATAAAGTTAGTTGAGTGTCTACATTCCTTATATGACAATGTGAGATACACACTTGATGGTATTCATGAATTGCAGCGGCAGTTCAACAAGTTCTCAATTCTATCACATAGCATTCACAAACTTTGATAAAAAAAAAAAAGGAAAAAAGGAGGTCAAAAAGGTAATAGGACTTGAATATTCTTTGGATTCTAATATATTGAAAAGTACCATTTCAATAATGCAGCTTAAATGAAAAGATATTCTTTAAGTTTTTTTCTTTTCATATATTTTGATAAAAAAAAAAAAGGAAAAAAGGAGGTCAAAAAGGTAATAGGACTTGAATATTCTTTTTGATTTTCTAATAATTGAAAGTACCATTTTCAATAATGAGCTTAAATGAAAAGATATTCTTTAAGTTTTTTTTCTTTTTCATATATATATATAATATATATATATATATATATATATTCACTTTGACCCAAGTATATATTCACTTGACCAAATTCCCAAGAAATTAACCATAATAAATGAACAATGCAGCTTAAATGAAAATCATATAATTTGAATCACAGAAAAGGACAGGAATATTGAAAAGTACAATTTTGACCACATGTATAGGACTAATTCAAGCTTTACTGAGAAAAAGAAAATCTAATCTGCATTTCAAAACATAAAATCAGATCCAATCCTCCAGTAAATTCTGATTGCTAATCAAGTATTATAGAAAGAAAACACAATTATTATTATAATTAAGATCATCTAATTAATTACCTCCTTGAACAAGTGACTCAGAGATCGCCGTTTACTACTTTGATCATCCACTCTGTCATCATCATCGAGAACAATCTCCTTGACCTTATCATTGTCACCTTCACTTTCAATAACCTTTTTTTCTTTTTCTTGCTCTGCAACTACAGGCTGATCACCGGGAACCGCCGTCTCTAGCGCCTTCTGATCACTACTCGGCTCAGGCGCCGACTCCGGCTCCGGAGCTTGAGCATCGTCCTTTAACACCTTAGGCTTGGTCGCACAAGCTCCCATGTGGTCTGAAAATTCTCTCGAAATTTTAATTTTAATTAGAACGTTAAAAGAGGAAAAAAAAGGGCAAATGAGGGAAACAGAGAGAGAATTTAGGGGATATATAATAGGGAAGAAGAAGAAGGGTTTAATGGTTCCGACATTCGTTCCGTGGTGGAGGAAAGAAAAATAGTGCAAATATGTATATAGAAGGAATAGGGACAGACAGACCGACAACAGAAACAGCTCTGAAAGTGTTTTTATATTATGCTTTGGAAATGTGGTTTTTTTTAATTATTATTATTATTATTATTATTATTACTCAATGACCCAAAATATAAATGTTCTTAAGTGATTATTTTGACCGGAGAGTATAAAATGTTTTGAATTTTTTAAGAAGTAATAAATGGCTTTTTTTTTCAATTTTATCTTATATGTATTAAATATCTTCATAAGTTACTGTTACTTTAGTTTCATAATACTTGTCACACGTGAAATTTCATATTTTTTAAGAAAACCATTAAATTTGTCTAAACTATAATAAATTATTGAGTAAATTCATTATATTATCCTTAATTTAATATTAATTTTCTAAAAAAATCATTAAATTGAAGTAATAATTGTTGGTCATTAAAAAAATCATTAAATTGAAGTAATAATTGTTGGTCATATACAAAGGGTAAATATGGAAAAAAATATTGATTATTCTTTGAAACTATAAATATGTCAAGTATTTTAGAATAAATTATTTTCTCAAAAGTGACAAGTATTATGAAACGGAGGTAGTATTAATTTTGAAAGAAACAATAATTTAATCAAAGTATCTTTGGTTTTGTTAATTTAGGGGAATAAATTATTTTAATTTCTTTAAACGACTTATATTTTGAAACGGATAAAATATTATAGTATTATCAATAATATTTTTCACTTCCTTTAAGGGTTAAACCAACGATTAAGTCTTTAGATCTTAGAGCCATTAGATTTAAAGTCTTTTTTAAAATGTTAATTTCACGGCTAGAGCTTAAGATCATCCGTGTAGATTCTAAAGTGCTTAATTAGTAAATAAAATTGTCTTAATTACTATTATTAATTAATTAATTAACGGATGTTTCTTTAAAAAATAATACTTGTGAAATTATAGAAACAGGTGTCACAGGCTGTTATAACAAAGAGAAGGCAGAAAGCTGAGAATGAGAAGGGGGGAAGAGCCACATTAGTTCCTCCCTTCAAGGAAAAGGGTAATGGACATTTTTTTTCTCTTTTTTCCGTTACAATAGTTTTCATCGGTTTGATCCAGAATTATTTAAAAGTCTTGTAGTTCATATTTTTACTTTAAATACGACTTCATTAAATTCATATTATTTTTTTCGCTCTTTAACTATTATGCTTTTTTTTGTACAATCCAGAGGTTTACACCTGTACAGAAATTGAGGTCTTTTAACTACTTCAACAAACATTTTATCGGTAGTTATTATACTTTTCGAGGATCAAACTTATATTGATCAATACGGGTTACCGTCTTATTAGTCTTGAATTTAATAAATCCTAAATATGAAATTATTTACTTTTAGGGATTTGTTTTTTAAAATTAAACTTTCATTTTTGTTTTGGGTTGGATATCCGGTTCTTGTTTATGTTTGTTTTTGGGTATTTACAGCTAAGTCAAACGGAGCATTTGAGTTGGCTATTGTAGTGAGTGAAGGTCCTACTTCCAGGTTGGCCTAATGACATCCCTCATGTCTTTCTTACAAATCAAAAACCTAAATTTAGAAAGCAGCTGGCGAAAGAGTAAGTGGGGGTCGACTATATTCATTTGAGAAATCAAAGAGTATTTCTCATAATCCAATGCTTCGTGTATACAACTACCTAGTCTTTTAACAATATGGTTTTTGTTTATTAGGATTTTTTTATTTTGAAAAAAAAAAGATCCATAGACAATAATTAATTATTTTTAAAAGAAAAATTGAATTTTATTAATGAATGAGAATCCATAGGTTTTTTTTTTTTTTTTTTTTTTTTTTTTTTTTTTTTTTTTTTTTTTTTTTTTTTTTTTTTTACCAATTCAACTAAAAAAGAATAAGAAAAGAGCCATTTTTTTTTTTTTTTTTTTTTTTACCAATTCTAATAAAAAAGAATAAGAAAGAGCCATTAAATCCTTGATATATATATATATATATTTTTTTTGGGAAGGTTTAAATCCTTGATAGTTAGATATTAATTTATCAAAATTTTAATTTTTTTTTTTTACATTAAGAACTTTTTTTATGGCCATGTAAAATTCACAAGAAAAAAACTTTTTTTGGGAAATAATACGGCCATGTAAAATTCACAAGAAATAAACTTTTTTTGGGAAATAATACGGACTTAAAGTTTCCATGTTTTATGTATAATTAGTGTTCTCAAACGTGGGTTGCACGTTATTTGTACTCGTTGATTTTTACTTGTTTCAATAAATGTAATTCAATTTATATATGTAATTTTCCATAAATCTATATATATAATTTTCTATAATTTTTTATTTAAATGATAATATTATGAATAGTTTGTATTACTAAAAATTTAAGAGCATCTACAAAATAGAAAAATATTTTATGTAATATTAAAATAAAATAATTTAATAATCTACTAACTTGTTATTTATAAATATTATTATAATTTGACAACTAATTTTTCATAAAAAAATTTATTTATCAATCAATTTAAATTAATATTTCCATATATGATTATAATATCATAAATTGTCTATATTACTAAAATACAAAAAATCAATAATAGCTTTCATATTTTGTCGATCAAAATAATCAATTTTTATTGTTGTTTTAGTTTTTTAAAAAAAGGAAAAAAAATGTAATTATATGCCAATGAATTTTCCATTTATAAAAGCATGAAGAACATATTCGTTATAGCTATATAGTTACCAATATTTCATTTAGGTTCAAACGAATTAAGAAAATACCAACACAAATCAACCAAAAAAGAATTCATTTCCATAAAGTGATATTATACATTTTTGTGGATCATTTTATAAAATACATATGGATTTATACACTCACTTCCAAAAGTGAAATACAAGATGTTTTCAAAAAAATTTCATTATAAAAAAACAATCTTTTACACAGATGGCAGAGGAGAATTTCAAGGTTTAATTATCTAATTACCTTAATACACAAGGAATAGAACACCTATTATCTCCACCATATACACCACAATGTGCCACTCTTGTTGAAAGGAAACGCCGTCGTATGCTTGAAACAACCCAAGCTTTATTTCATCAAGCCTCTTTACCAATATATTTTTGAAGCTTTACTTTTCAACAAGTTGTTTTTCTCATCAACGGATTGCCCACACCTATTTTACAATATCAAAGTCCATATGAAAATTTTTTGGCAAACCTCCAAATATAAATCCATAAAAGTTTTTGCTATCCCTGGCTTCACCCATATACAAAAATAAATTAGAGTCTCGTTCTATATTGTGAGTTTATTTAGATTTTTCAAATAAATATTATTGCCTTCTTTGTTTTTAATATTATTGTCATCTAAATTATACTCATCAAAGAATGTAATAATTTATGAAAATAATTTTCCTTTCAAAAATATATTTTCCAATCATAAATTCAATTTCAAAAATTTAAATTTGAAAAATTATTTGAAATAAAAGCACATGTGATAATTCAAAGGAAGAAGCTTGGAATAACAAGCCACTCGACCTCCACCCAATTCGATAAATAACAAATCCACAACTGTCCAAACTTCTCATCACTAACAACCCCAAACAAGTTGACCACCACTCACATATCACCGCAGGAACCCACCTCGATCCCAATCCCAATTGGAAGCTTCTATGCCCAACTCCACGTCCTCTAACAGACTAGATCAGCCTACAATAACAACAACATCAATACAGAATATCTATCCTATGATTACCTGATCCAAAGCAAATCTCTCTTAATCTTGATACCAAAAATTCTTATTACACTCTTGCCACATTCAAATAAGCTCCCTGTAACTCTCACTAGCATGATGCAATGAAATCTAAATTTGTAGCACTAATGAGAAATTTGACTCGAGAACTAGTACCCTATGATAACTCCAGGAATGCGGTGGACTGTGAGTGGCTCTTTCGTATCAAATACAAACCTGATGGCAATATTGATAGGTATAAGGCTCGCCTTGAAGCTAAGGGCTTCACTCAATGTCCTTGACGCAGAACCCGTAGGAAACGATTCCTAGAATCCCTAATCGAGTGGATCGGATCAAAGATTGAGATTGAAGTTTGTCTCTATGGCAACCTACGTTTATAATGAAACGGAAACACCAATAAACGAGAATTTTAGAATTAGATAAACACCACAACAAGTTGATAAGTTTACCTAGAATTCTTATTGCAATTAGAGGAAGCAATCTCTCACTATCACTCTAAGTAAAGGCACATGCAAAGCATGAACAAACTCAAAGTTTGATTTCAATTTGTCTAAAGGTTGATTGTTTGTTTACAATGAGATAAAGCTATTTTAAACTAAAACCTAAACATAATCGGGCTTACATATGAAATAGACCCAACAACATAAGGGCCCTACAAAGTTAGCAAAAGAGCTAAGCTAAACAAAGTCATTTAGTGAATAAACACGTCCAAGTCAGACCCTAGCATGCCCTGGGCGTGCTACTTAGCACCCCCGTGCTACAAGAGGCAGACTCTAGCACCCCTAGGGTGTGCTACTCAGCACGGGCGTGCCACACCATTCTAGGGTGTGCTACTCAGCACGGGCGTGCCACACCATTAGCACATGCCTCCAACATTGTAAGAAGCCTAGGAATGCCTTCAAGTTTCTCACAACACTTGTTAAATGCCATATCATGAAGCTCATGTGTTATTTGGACTTGAACATATAAGGACATGGCTGCCCCATATCACTTGGCACGGCTTCGTGTAATCGGTCCATTAGAAAGCATCAACGGATCTCCTACGTTGTTCTCCATGCTTCCTTGAGCTTTATTGACAAATGGTGGCGGATTCGTATCAGTCCTGGTCTAGACTACAATGCCACATTCAACCTTGTGGTCAAGATAACCACCATTCAATTGGTTTCGACTATCACTATCCAATGTGATTGGTCAATCAACCAATTAGATATTAACAATGCATTTTTATGGGGTAATCTGGAGGTAGAGGTCTATATGAGACAACCTCTAGGATTTAAAGATTCTGTCTTACCAAATCACATGTGCAAGTTGAAGAAAGTAATT